TTAGCAATCTGCAGCTCATGCCGGATTGGGATGACTCCATTACTTGGAACTTGACAACATACAGGCGTTGCTCCTCGGTGTCCGCTTATGCGGTACAATTTCATTGATCGCCTCAACTTGGCGATTATGTCTCTCTTTGGGCTTGGATTAGCAATCTGCAGCTCATGCCGGATTGGGATGACTCCATTACTTGGAACCTGACAACATACAGGCGTTGCTCCTCGGTGTCCGCTTATGCGGTACAGTTTCATTGATCCCCCCCCCCAAGTTTGACTGCAGAAAGATGCTGAGCCCAAATGCAAGATCTTCGCCTGGCTTGTTTCTCATGGGAGGATTCTAACGACGGATATGTTGGCAGCTCATGGATGGTTGCACGACCCGAGATGCCAACTGTGCCTCCAGGCCCCAGAAACTGTGACCCACCTATGTAAGGACTATCCCTTCTGTGTGGCTGTATGGAACCACCTATCTGCCTGGACACACGAGGATTTGTCGGTTTGGGGCTTTCTGCCGGAACCTAGCAATGTCTCTAATTGGTGGGACGAGCTGATCACCATGGAGTTGAAGCACGGATGCAAGCATCAAAGTGCTAGGCTCCTCTATACCATATGGAACATTTGGAAGTAAGAGGAACAGGCGTATTTTTACGAGCCACCGTATGACTCACTACGAGGTTGCATTGTTGGCTCCAAGGACATCTTGCGCACACATGCATTACTTGATGTCTGTGCCTACTATAGTGTTTGCCACGGCCCTTTCAAAACCTGTGCCCCCTTGTACATATTTGGTTTTTAAACCTCTTCCCTTCTATGAATAGACATTGCTCTTTCCGGTTGTTAAAAAAAGAAGTATGATTAAAAATATTACCAAAATGAAGTCACAGAATTTTTGAAGTCACAAAATAAATTACATTTTTGGAGTCACAGAATTTTTGCAAAGCATTGTTATGTACTCCCTCTGTCCCATAATATAAGAACGTTTTTCACACTACACTAGTGTACAAAACGTTCTTATATTATGGGACGGAGGGAGTACCAATTTTTTTAAGTTACGCAACTATTTTTGTTGACAAGCATAACCATTTTTTATTAGGAATAAATCCATAGTGTAACATATTTTAAAGAATTTTTTTTCACACAACCATGTAGATCCACCTAGACAAATTAAGGTGTTGGTAAAGAAATAAAACAAATTAGCAAAAATAATTTACAAAAAATGAGAAGTTGCAACGGGCCGGCCTTCCACCAATAAAAATTCAAATACTTGTTCAACATTTTTAATACTCATTTACCATTTACAAATACTTTTTCAAAAAAATTAAAATACTTGTTCAACATTTTTAAGACTTATTGAAAAAAAATTAAAATACTTTTTCAACATTTTTAATACTTGTTCACCATTTTCAAATACATGTTCAATATTTTTCAAATACTTTTTCAATATTTTTAGTACCTATTTAAAAAATAGTTTTTTCCACATTTTTCAGATGTGTTTTTTAATAGTGTTTTTATATAGAGAGAGAATATTTTTAAAGTATAAATAAAATTACAAAAATAAAGCAAAAACTGATAACAGAAAACAGAAAACAGAAAAAGAAAAGCAAAACAAAGCAGGCCGTGGCTTCCCGCGCGGCCGGGCCGGCCCATCTGGGGCTCCCCCGACGCGAGACTTCTCCCCGTCTCGCTTAAACAGAGGCCGCCCCTCCCCTCCGTCTCCTTCCTTCCCCCCAAAACAAAACAGAGTGCTCTGAATCCCGCGAGCTCCTCCCCGCCGGCTTCCTCCTCCCCAAGCTCGCACCAGCCAACTACCGAAGCAACCGTCTCGCCTCCGTCCATCACCACCGCCTCACCGCCCCTCTCTCCGTGCTTTCTCCTTCGGCTCCACCTGGCCGTACGGGCGAAGACAAAAGACGACCAAGAAACCAAGAAGCCCTGCAATGGAGCAGGGCGCCGGGAAGAAGCTCGGAAATGCCAAGGCGTCCAAGTACGATGTGAAGGTGTCCGCTCTGGAGCTCCCTGGCGCGCCGACTGGGTCCTGGGTGGCCGCGCTGCAGCTCCCGGGCGCGCCATCTCAGGCTACCGCGTTGCAGCTCGCAGGCGCGCCAGCCCAGCCGCCTCAGGTCGAGGTGGCCCCTCGACGGCGTGCGATCGTCCCCGCCCCCGCTCACGTGCCGCCTCAGGCCGACGCGGCCTGGTTCAGGAGCTTGCTGGAGGCCCTCCGACTCCGGTTTCCGCGGCCGCTTGTGGCGAGGATCTTCGAGGCCTTTCAGGGCGCGTGGGCGTCCGTGCACGTGTGGTTGAGCCGGCCGCCGCCAGCAGCAGCGCCGGTGATCAACAAGAAGAAGAAGGACAAGAAGAAGAATACCTTGCTCCCCGTGCCGCGGCGTAGTAAGGCATGGTTGTACTGGGAGAAGCGCCGCCGCCGCCGGGTGATCCCCCCTCCTCCTGCTCCTCTTCTTGATGAGCCGCAGCCTTCGCAGCCCGCACCAGTGCCACTGGTATGATCCAATTCCTCTCCTTCCCCGAATTCAGAGTTTCAGACTGTTGCCTTTCCTTCAGAAATTTCAGTGATAGTTTCAGAACACAAAACTGAGTCACAAACCATAAAATGGACTTTGCTGGAATTTGTCGATAGTTGCATGACAACTGAATTTATGTTAATCGGTTAGAATTTATAGCATTATGCAAAGAATCCTTGCTGGAATTGCAGAAGCTCTCTTCTGATGAAGGGCACCAAAAACTTTGCATTCAGTTAAAATCCAGTGATAGGAAAACAAAGTTACCAACAAGGTGTTCTTCTGTGAATTTTGCAAACAAAGTTACAAGAGGACTGTTCCTTAGTTTGCATGTATCCACTGGATTAACTTATGTTCAGACCCCTGCCTTTTGTAATTAGAAAATTGAAAAATATATACAATCAGAAAGAAATGAGAAAACTGAACTGATTTCTTTCCCTCGTAATCAGTTAGTCAGTGATAGTTCATGTTAATCAGTTAACAAAATTCAGAATGAATTATTTGCTGTTTATCTTTCTGATGAAGTGCAGAAAGAACTGCCTCGGTTGTGATGACCAGGAATTATTTTTCTGTTTATCTTACTAGGTGGCCAGAACCATTATATATACCTGAATGAGTGCGTACATTTCTGGAATGCGTGATATATTCGAAAGAAAGATTTCTGGAATTGTTTCTAGCCTCACTTTTCTTTGGTGACTCGTTCATTACATTAGATCTTATAATGCATAACATATCTGAAATAAAATGATTTGTATTGCTCCACAAAGATGGCCTGAATTGATTCAGTTGATATTCAAAGAAATGACAAAATGTCAATCAGTTTCCCTTGTAATCAGGATACTTATTGTCATTTCTTTGGATATATTGTGTGCAATTATTTGTTTCAGTAATTCCAGGAAATAAGTATCCTGCACAGCAATTGTAAGCACTGGTTCAGGTATATTCTGAAATATTGTCTTGCCTTTGCCTTCAGATAATTGAAAATAACACTGATTTCCAAGTTTCACCCTTGAGTCAAAGCTTCACGCTTGAGTCTGATATCCAAGTTTTGAAAATTGAAAAGATACAGAAGGAACACTGATTTCCTGGAGTTGCTGAAACAAATAATTCGGAAACCAAGTTTTGTTGTTTATCTTACTCTAAAACAAACAATTATACCTGAACCAGTGCTTACAATTCTGGAACGCTTTCTATCAGATCTTTTTGGTGTTTTCCTGAACATAAATACTCGGGTGGTAAACTATGTTTGCTATGCTTGGATACAATTGTGTTTGTGTTTTCCATCTTAATCCTCTCCATTTCTTTTGTTGACAGAATGGTACTGTTAAATATTCCATTTATTGCTCGTAATTTTCAAGCTTCACTTTTCTTTGGTGACTCACTCATTACATCAGATCTTATAATGCATCATATATCTGAAAGCGAATCTGAAATAAAAAGATTTTGCATTGTTTTATCATTCCATCTCATATCTGCACAAATGATAAAGAATCGTTTCAATAGCACATAAGTTGCGTATATTTGTTAATGCAGTTCAGCTTTTTAATCTTGTATCGTACCTATGCTCAGATTGTCGATGGAGAGACCGTCCCCGCTGAGATTGTGGAGGGATATAAGAGGTACTGCAGAATAGCTACATCCTCTCCAGCGACAACAACAGTGTGTCACCTTTGCATATTTGAGGTGGAGCTTCACCCAAATGGGATTGTGCGCACCTCTGATGTGAGAGATTGAAACGAGCATCATTTTACCCCCAAACACATCTCTCCATTTGATTCTGAGCTAACTTTCGTTCGCTTTTGTAGCTGATCGCGCATTACAACAAGCATCGTTCGGTAGTTGTTCGGTGCGGCAGGTTTGGCTGTGCTGCTAAGGTTCCTCCAGGGCGCGACCTACGCTGGCACACCCATATTTGCCACGACTTGCCTGCTGATTGGTGGCTATCATAGAGACCTGGTTGTACTAGGAAACAAAATGTTGGTACCATAAATGATATGAATTGTTGTATAAACTTGTAAATCGTGTGGGTTTATATGCTTATGGTTCTGAAACCACAACCAGATCCTTGTGGTTCATTCATGAACAAGAGTGGAAAATATTAAACGGGAACACTAACAACACTGTTAGATTCCAGTAACAACACCCAACGTCACATACATTTCTTTATTTTTGCAATAAATTATGAAGAGCGTGTGTACAGTATTTGAGGAAACTATTACAAACTATTTGAAACATACATTGTCAGATTGCTGTAACTACGCGATGATTCCATCTTCTCCATGATTTTCTGAAAACACCTGCATATATCATCTCTGGCTACCAAACCAGCAGTGTCATCAAAAGACTGAGCACAAAAGGATGTTGATGTTCAACACTCCCTCGGCAGGCCATTTTTGCAGCACAGACAGGACCTCTCTCTCGAGACTCGAGTAGTAGCGTCTTGCTGTACTGCACCTCGTGTTAATTGTGACTGTAGCAGTTCACTTCACAGTTGTTGGCTCATTGCGCCCATCGCGTTGATCTTTCTAAGATCAGGAATAATCCACATTGGAGCTGGACAGTTGGACCAAAGCTGAGGAGACAAAAGTTCCTCCTTGCTGTTATCATCCAAGCTAATAATTCCCATATCACGATGACTGTTCTTATGTCCCACTGTCCATAGAAAATTATCGTCGGTAAAATAGGAACGATTTGCCTTGAGAGCAGGATATTCATCAGCACTGAGGCATAGCGATAGATTATGACCAAGAAATAACACGTGGTCACGCAAGCAATTGATTGCCTCAGTTTTATTCCACAGAGAATCAATTTCGCATATTTTAATTTTTGTAGTCTTCCAGTACTCAGATGCACCAGGCTGAGGTTCTAAATCATGGTCATGAACTATTCTAAAAACAAGTAGCAGCCTGCCCCATGGAGCTTGAACGACGTACCTGCTACAACAATCATAATGCTCAGGTATCATTATAATCGTCTTCATAGTGACCACAGGGCCACTAAGATCGAATGCGTGGAGTTCCCCTTTTACATTCACTGCATACAATATGCCGTCCTTGTAAATGCAGTCGTCGTGAAGATAATGAGGTGGTAGCCAGGTCCACTTATCATCCCCTGCCTTTGCAAATGAGAGCTGAGCTTGTGGATTGTGGATGAGCACCACAATGTAGCTTCCGGTGGTTGTGTCAGGAAATACAAACACCTTCCGCTGGAGTCTATCCCTCAGCTCGGCAAGAGCAAAGATGGTTGGATTGCGGCTATTGCACGCTCCAGTGTGCCATGACATCTCATACTCGCAGACATCACCATACTCATCAAATATGGGCTTCACATGCTCAATGGTGGTCACTCAAGGAAGAGCAATCTGTTCACAGGTGATTGGATTCAGAAGGTGCATCTCAGACCTCTCGTCGACGGTAACAAGCCAGCCATGTGAGGACCCAATCAAATACCTGCTGCGGATAGGTGGCTGCGGCAGAGATAACTTGTAGGACCTCTTCTCGGCGAGGCTGTAGAGGGACAAAACATCATAAGGATCAGATTCAGAGGTGTAGACCAGGCAAGGCGTCTGACCCTTCTTGTACTTCCCAAGAGTGCGTAGCTCGGCGTATGCGGAGTGCCAGGATGAACAGACCGAGCCAGCGCGCACGAGGTCAGGGATCTCGAGAACGGCAAAGATAACCATCAAGATGTCCTGCGGCAGCTCCGGCAATGTGGCCGCCATCTTGGTCTCTGACAGTGCCACATGAACATGTTCATCTTTGCAGAATTTCTTGAGTGGAGGGAAGCCTAGCAGCCTGGGCAAAAGTCTGAAGACTAGAGAGCACAACTTGTGCCGGTACATAGCTAGGTCTTGCAAACTGATTATCCTGGCTACTATGCTACAGGTCTCCATGGCTTAAAGCAGAGCAGAGCCTCTGTTGGAAAGTCGCAGTCTTGATGAGAGAACAGGCAGGTCCTGCCAATACATATAGATCGCCGGCCGAGGCCTCACCCCGACTCCGAGGAGGTGAAGCAAATCCGAATCCAGACTGGAACAGGAATCGCTGTGTTGATTGGTGAAGGAATTTCGGATCCGGACCCAAGGAGAGAATGGTAGCTAGAGCCTAGGCGCCGCTCGTGGCGGTCCGAGGTCGCCGGAGTGGACGCGCCCGTGCTCGCTGGAGTCACTGCACCGCCGCTCGATTGGCTGACCTGCACTAGTTGCGGCGCCGCCCGTGGTGCTCCTCTTATCCCTCTGGATGAACTGAACGAGCAGGGGATTTTGATCTTCAATCGACCCATGGACAGGTAGAGAGAAATTGCCAATATGCCACAGGGGTAAATGGGTAATTTCACCATATTTTCGGCGCAAAAAGTTCCTACTCCCTCTGTAAACAAATATAAGAGCGTTTAGATAAGTACTTTAGTGATCTAAACGCTCTTATAAAAGTTTACAGAAGGAATATAAAACACGAAATAGATAGCCAAATGATCAATATTTTTGGCCGACGCTACGCGTCACTTCGATCAGCCGAGGAGGAACCAAGAACACGGTTAGCCTGAGGCCCGAGGCGAGACTAGAACCGGGGCCCCTTGTTATAAACAACAACATAATATTTAATATATGTATATGATAAAAAATTTAGTAAAACAAGTGCATCCAAAATCAAATAATTATAGTTAACTTAAAAAAAATTCTTCTAACTTTCCTAGATTCAATAACATTAATTAAGGTATGGTATCAATCCCATTCAATAATTTTTCTAAACTTACAAACCTCACATTTTTGTTTTTCATCACTATATAGCTATTTAAAAGATGTATATGCTTTTTACAGTATGACAACAATGATCACAGAAGGTTGCATACCTCAGCCACCATCAACACATCCAGCGCCTCCTTATACATGTCCTTGATAAAAAAGATTGTTCTGTGATGAAGCATTAGAACCATCTTCTAAGCCCTATAGACAACACAGATAGTGAGTTAATGTCATAAACTATACGAGAAAACTGTTGAACAGAAGATTCAATATATTTCTTGCTATCATCTTCAAATCCAGAAAGCATTATTTTCTGTCAACTTTGATCCTGAAGATATAAGTTGAAATATTCTACAAAGAAGGAACCGTCTGAATGTCTTTGAGATAGCGCTTTTCCAGTATCACCACAAAATCATAAAATCGATCATCGAGTTAATTAATTAAACATACAAGTTCATATAGAATTTGACGGAACTTCATGGTTAATCCTGCTTTAGTAGACAACATCCTATACTCCTATTTTTTTTCCTAAATCAAACAGTAGCATCATGGCTCCTAATTTTCAAATGCCAAATAAAAATCTCGCTCACAGCGACTATAAACTTTCCGGTCGCGAGCAAGGAAGGGCACATGATCTATCAAGAATTCATACAAGCGCACATGATTCTATCAAGAATTCAAGAGCGAAGCGATCCTTACCGGAACCTGATGACGAGCCTGCCGGTGTGCTCCTTCCCCTTCGCGGCCGCCATGGGCGATATCCTGATGACGGCGATGGCGTTGCCGCGATTGGCGACCAAGAGCATCTCCAGCCGTTGGCCCCCCAAGGGGCGCCTAAAATCGCCGTCTGGGGGTGAGCCGGCGCAAAAATTGGGCCTGGGGGCGAGTTGGTCCCCAGCCGCCGGCCCCAGAGCCGCCCCCAGGCGCGTTTAAAAATAAAATTTGTATAGCAAATTTCGGCACAGTTCGGCGAAACACGATAAATTTCGGCAAACTTGAGCATATATTAGACATGTTCGTCGGTTTTTATTACATAGAAAAATAGATAACTAAACTAAAAGAGAAACTGGCTGAACGCCGAGTAGTCGGCATCGTCGCCGCCGTCGTCGGACTTCTCCTCCTTGACGCAGCCGTCCCTGGTGGACCCCTGACCGGCGTCGCCAACGCGGGCTGGTGGCGGTGGCGCGTCGTCGCCGTTGCTGTCGCAGATGACGACGACCCCGCCTTCATCGCGGCCGCGTCGGCGCTCCGCGAAGCGGTGCAGGGCGGCGCACTGGCGCTCCTTCGCCTTCTCCAGGCGCTCCTTCTCCATCGCCATGGAGTCCCTGCGCGCCCATTCCAGGGCCGCATCGTCGTTGTCGAGCTCCGTCTTCACCGGCGCGGCCGGCTCCTTCTTCACTGGCGCGAGCCCCGGCTCCGTCTTTGGCTTGATGAAGCGCGGAGGAGGAGCCGACGAGGAGGCGCGCCGGCCGCCCTCGTTGATGACGATGCCGGCGCTGCGAGTGCGCGGGCCGAGCGGCGTCTCCGCCGCGGGCTCGGCCTTGACGCCGAGCAGGGCCGGAGCACCGGAGGAGTGCGAGGAAGATCGCGAGGAGGAAGAAGAGGAGGAGGACCCGAACCTCCTTGGTGCCCATGGCCCGGCGCGTCGGTGGTGCGCCGGGGCGGCCACCCTCGCTGGGTACGCCAACGGCGGGTCGTTGCCGCCCTCGAGGTACGTCAGCACGCCCTCAAGTGTGCGGCCGGGGACGCCCCACCACAGGTGGTGCCCCTCGCTGTTCTTCTGGCCGCCGACCACCGGCGCGTCGTTGGTGGACGCCAACCGCTGCCGCTGGCGGCGCTCGAAGTACGCCGCCCAAGCCGCGTGGTTGTCGGCGGCGTATTGGGGAAGGGAGAGCTGGGCGTCAGTGAGGGAGGCGCGGACGACCTCGACCTCCTCGGTGAAGTAATTTGGCTTGGCCACGGCGTCGGGCAACGGGGGAACGGGCACTCCCCCGTCGCTGAGCCTCCACCCCGTCGACCCGGCGGGCATGTCCGGCGGCGCCGGGATATTCGCCTGGAACAGGAGCCAGGGCTCCTGTTTGCGCAGCGAACGGCGGCCGAAGCCGTTGGCCGCCGCCTCGTTTCCGGGGAAACGCTCTGCCATGGCGACGGGCTCGGGAGAGGTAGAGAGGGAGAGGGAGGGGCTGGGCGGCGGCGCTCGGGAGAGGTAGAGGGAGGGGCTGGGCGGCAGCGAGGGGCGGGGCTGGTGTGGGCACAAGCGAGTGAGGCCACCGGCTATATAGCCGCGCCATGCCCGTGTGAACACGTGCGAGGGAGGGGAGGCGTCGGCGCGCCGTCCCGTGACGCGCCGCCCGTGAGGAATCAGGCAAGGCTGACCGGCGGCAGCCTTGCCATTGATTCCCCGCGGGAACCGAGGCCGTTGGGGGGGAGACGCGGCTGGCCCGCGGCTTTTTCGCGCCAAAACAGCTCGCCCCGGCACCCCCGGGCGCCCCCCAGCGCGCCGGGTTTGGCCTGGGTCCGCCGGCGCTGTTTTCGGCCCAGTCCGGCCAAAATCAGGCTTCTGGGGGCACGACTGGGCCGTTTTTTCGACGTCAGCGCGAGAAAATCGCCTGGGGAGGCCTTCCTGAGGGCGCGGGCTGGAGATGCTCTAAATTTTCATGTTAACTGTAGGCATGCACGATGGGAAAAGGGGAACGTGGGCGTTGTGCGCTAGTCGGGGGCCGATGGTCATGCTGCCCACGAGCTGGGCCAGGCCCAGTATCTCACGGTGGATGATGTCGTGTGGATGTACGCTACTAGGGCCCCTGTGATTCATTCTCAAACAAAATTACTAGGGGTCTGCGATTGTGCAAGGAAGAAAACACGATGAACATACTCGTGTGATCGTCGTTCGCTACCTCCTGTTGCGTGCGGTTTCCCTGAAAAAAATCTGCTGCGAGGGACGGCGTTGTCACTGTGTAGCTAGGTAATCTCACATGCGTACATGGCCGGAGGGGGCCCCTAGATTTCCGGGGCCCTGGCCGAGGAGGAAGCAGTGAAGGGTACCGTAAGCTGCTGTAGTAGGGGACAAATGTTAGGAGAGAGTTGTGCAGTGAAGAGCAAAGCAGAAGCCACTGTAGGTACCAATAACGTCTGTCAACACATGAAATAGCGGCTTTCCATTTTGCCCTTATTTCGGCGGTGCTTCTTCGTGTTGCTGGGAGGTGTGTTAAAGATGATGTGTCTTTGGATCTGGTTTTCTGGGCCCGGCCTTTTCTTCAATAAGTTTGTCTCAACGGTATTGTCTTGCCGAACGGACAACATGGTAGTGCGTCTTTATCCTTTCGCTCTGGTTCTCATGGCCAAAGGTTGGCCAGCCTCAGCCTCTTCAGGGAGCATGCGAGGTTTGTATTCCTCGACTCCGTCTGACCGGACATCGGCTGTTCTACATGCACTCCCTAATATTTTCTTCTTCGGGACGATGAACTTGCTCAGAAGTGCAGGCACTACCTTGTTCGCCTCGACAGCCTAGCTGGAGCCTACACATTTATTTACACTACTTCACCTCAATTCAGTGAAACACTACGTGAGATAAGATGATAGGCAGGCAGGCAGGCAAACATTAAGCATATGCTTCAAACTTCACCCAGACGAAACACCGTTGAAACCTTCACGCGTACAGAGCATAATTACTATTTTCAGAAAAGAATAGCACACTACCGAACGAAGTATTCTACTCCCTCCGTTCCTTTCTAGACATTTCAAATAACTACTACATACGGATGCATGTAGACATATTTTAGAGTGTAGATTCACTCATTTTGCTCCGTATGTAGTCACTTGTTAAAATGCCGAAAGACAAGTATTTAGGAACGGAGGGAGTATCTGAAGCCCTACCCAAGGTTTTCCACCGGTTGTTTCCATGCTGCCAAAAAAGCAATCTAAAACACGATGGTAAGCATACACATCGTCATCATATACTAAACACGGAGCAGTTTTGAGTTCCGAAGCCCGAAGGTCTCAGAACAGGATGTGCAAAGCACATTGGCTCGTCTTTATGCTAGGGATCATAACTTGCAATCTCTAGATTACTGCTTGACGAAATCCTTGAGCTTGTTGAGCCAAAACAGGTACTCCCGGCTGTCCTTGTTGATCATGTACTCGTGCAGGAA